TTCTGCCTGAGGGCAAGATGGCTCAAAAGGAATTAATGGAGACTTAGCGAGGATTCTGCAAATGGGTTTGGACTTGCCTTCACTGTCACCCATAACGCACTGCAAACTGGGTGGTCAGAATTTAAGCTCTATGTAATACAAGATTAAATGAGGAAGTATATGTGAAAATATAAGGGGGCTTCAAAAAGTCCATAGAAACCTGGAGTTCAAAGATTACAGATTTTTCTTCTACAAACTTTTGGACTCTTCCTCACATGTATAGACCATTAGAGGTGTTGCTATTTCGATATTCTAAATTTTCAATTTTTTGAAAATTCACAACTTTTAGAATATTCAAAATTTTGCTATTCTAAATAATTCTTCTGAACAAAAACTGAGATGATGGAAGCAACTTTAAGATGATCACTTTGATAGGTGTATGTGCAGGCAGTACTGGAGAAGAAGAGGCACAAGGTACAGTCCCACGAGGAAACCTTCGCAGTTCTGTAGGTTAGAGGGACACAAAACAGTGACCATAAGAAAATATCTCTAACAGATTATGCCCAAGAAATGAAATTACACATTGTCGTTTGGAACCTTTAGAACAGACTAGAACTGCCCCATAGGGTTTCCAAGGATATAAATCTTTATGAAAACAGACAGCCACATCTTTCTCCCCCTGCAAAGTGGCTGGTGAGTTTGAACTCCACCTTTCCATTAAGCCAAGCGCTTAATCACTGCATCACCAGGGCTCCCTACAAGTGGAATTAGGAGACGTCAAAGTGTAATGAACAGAGGAGATCGGGCATTTGTCAGTTACAAGTATCCAGTGACCTGATGTAACTTCAGAAAGGCATAATTCTATCAACATATCTAAAGCTCCCACAGCTTAATCACTTAAAGTAAAATGGTTGGAGCCATAACACAATCAAACGCTAACCCAATCAATTATAGTAAAATAGCTGAGGCTAACATAAACAGACTCAATTATATTAACTTGGCTGGAGCTGAAACTCAAGCAATTGAATGGTGCTTTGTCTTTATGGAAGGGGAGTCGGAGATACTCCATATAGAATCCCCTCCAGAAAAAAGGATTTATCAGTGCTTCTCTAGTGACATTTAAGGAAGAAGTGTCCATATTTGACCAACACAAGTAAATATCTTGCACTTTTATAAAGGAGATGGATATAAGTCAACCAGTCATTAAAATCAGCTAATTCTACTTGTTCACTAAGCAACTTTCTAATTGTAGCATTTAACTTCCAAAGAAGTTACCATAAAAAAATTTTTTTTAAATAAGTTACCATAACCAATGTAATCACTCAAAAGGATTGTTTAAGCCACCATAGATTTTATGTCAAAATATGTAAATCACCCATATGGCTTATATACCAGGCTCTTGAAGGAGTAAGTTATGCATTGGGCTGCTGACCATAAATAAGGTCAGCAGTTCAAATCCACCAGCTTCTCTGAAGGAGAAAGATGAGGCTGTCCGCTCCCATAAAGATTTACAACCTCCCAAACCTCAGCGAACAGTTCTGCTCTGTCCTATAGTGTCACTCTAATCGACTTAACAGTGGGTTTGGATTGGAAATAGTCTCTTGTGAGGGAGGTCTTCCAAACTTAGTGAATTAACCAAACTGGAACTTCTGGGTATTCAAGCTGAGAGTCAGGCCCTCCAAGAGAGAGAGTGAGAGAGAGAGAGAGAGAGAGAGAGAGAGAGAGACAAGTGTTTCTATCTCTTGCCACTCTAACATCAACCCAGGTGTACAACTCAAAATACTACCATCCAGACAATGTCCACACATAATGACCTTATAGCTTTCCAAGTTAACAACCCACTGCCTAACCCACAGCATCATCCACCCACAGAAGTGCCTTATTCCATAACATGTGTGTGGTGACAGGAGGTGCTAGCCTGGGAAAGGTTGGTGTGGTCACTAATGGAAAGAAACACCTGGCTCTTTTGATGTGGTTCATGTAGAAGATGAGAATGGCAATAGCTTGGCCCCCTGACCTTCCAACTTTTTGTTATTGGAAAAGGCAACAGACTCTGGCTTTCTCTTCCTAGAGGGGAAGGCACCCACCTCACCATTGCTGAAGAGAGAGGCAGAAGCTGACTGCCAAACAGAGCAGTGGGTGCACAAGTGATCTCTAGGTGGAGCGAATGAAGAGATCTTAAAGTAACATATGCGGCGTAATTGTCAAAATGTAATTATTTGTGATTGAACTAGTGAATTGTATGGTATGTGACTTATATGCCAATAAAACTGTTGGAAAACATAAATAAAATGAAATGCTGCTCAGGAAAAAAAATGTAAAAAAAGAACAAGTGCTTTTTCCATGCACCCTGAGAAAATTAGTGAGAGGAGTTTTGTTTTGTGTGAGCCTAATCAATCTTCGAGATCAGAAGGGCAGCATTTACCCAAGGACAGAGTTCAGAGGGTTGGGAAGGTCGGAGGAATGAAAAGTAGAAAACAGGGAGAAAGTGGAATCGGTGATAGTCCACGGAGGGGATTGCAAGGGTTAAATTGAATCACAAAGTGTATGAATTGTTGACTGTAAAACTACAATATGCTTTGTAACCCTCCAAATCCACAATGAAAACCTTTTTGGTTTTGTGTCTTAAAGAAGTAGATTGCTTGGCAGCAGATGTACAAATGTGCTTGATGCAATTGATGTATGCATTGTTACAATAGCTGTAAGAGCCCTCAATACAATGTTCAAAAAAGAGTAGATTGCCAGACCTTTCTTCCAAGGTGCCTTACCAATGAAACATGAGGCAAGGTCTTCTGCTGAGAAGGCAGGGAAAGGGGAGTGTTGGAGATTGTAGAAGGGAAAAAGTATAAGACAGCTACTGTGCAAAGTAGA